AGGCACTAGCTGGTGTGATCATGAATACTGTAAAACGAGAAAATTTGGCGCATACGTATTTTAGCGAAAACGCATGTTGTAATGCATTGAAGCAAATAAATTTTAGCGCTTGCACTTGTCATTAAAATATATAAATGTGATATTGTTTTTTTAAATCCACACCCGTTTTTTACTTTTTAGGCTAGTCAAGCACGGAAAAACAATAACAGTCCCGTATATGAGTAAACATTCGTCAACTTTACAATGGTGTTGCAATATTACATGGACGTGGCACAATGTAAATTTTATTCTAATTTAATTTTAAATAAAAGAAATGAAGTATTAACACATTTTACTTATATTAAAATAATGCATGCATTGAAGGTAATCATAATCAGGTAGAGTCTGCAAGCTCAATCGCAATGCTTGATTGCATTGTTTACCTCGAGGCGATAGATGATTGACACGCCGAGAAGCCAAACTTTGAAGGTGCTAATGATAAGTTTACAGCAAACAATATAGATTGATTAAATTATAATTTGGCAGAACTTTCTCGATCGATCCTACCATATGCATGTACAGTGCTAGTGTGTATATAAAATCCAACGATCCTTCGACATTATGTAATCGCACGTTCTGGTTTATATGTACTTAAGTGAAAGCTTTCAAGGCACACACAAAATAAAATTTAGGAATCCGTTAGCGCACAATAAATTTTAGCATTCGGGAGCTCTTGCGCCAAAGGCGCTAAAATTAGTAGTGCGCCAAATATTCTCGTTTTACAGTATGACTTTTTTAATCCTTGTTTTATATTAAAACAAATAAATTTGCACAAGGCAAATTTCATTGACGATTTGTGTACCAATTAAATATGCACACCAGTGTACATCAAAATGATCTTATGTGTCTGAAAATTGAGGAAAGTTATGACCATGAATACATACCAAATCATCTGCTGTGACTGGTACCCCTGCTTTACTGGTTCCTACCACCATTTGCCCCAGCCTCTCTCTCATATCTTGTAGTCCTGTTGTCAGTGCTAGAATTGCCATGATTTCACTGGCTACAGTGATATCAAACTGGCACTGAAATTGGAAAAAAATCTCAATTATATTCAAGCCATTTATACAATGTACATCGTACAGTACTCACATTTAGCAACAATATTAAACCATAGATTCTAAACATTTACAACATTAAATTTTAGTGTAGTCTTATTAGAAATACTGATATGTAGCACAAGACACAGAACAGGAGCAAAGGATTTTTTTGCCATTGGGGTGATAAATGGACCATGATGATTATACCCTCCCCCCATTGAACACTTGCAGACAGGTTTCAGGATAGCTTTTTTGTTACCCACATAAGCTCAATAAGCCAAAAAAAAAGTTATGCGTGGTTCAATTTTTTTTTTCAAAATTTGTAAAGATTCCAACCAAATGAATCACAAAGTCAGAAAACTCTCAGTCACAACAGTACTTTAATTCTAACCTCTCTGGTGTGGCCTTTCTCTTGTGGTCCTTGACCAACTGTTATTTTTCTCAGGAACCTGTCATTTGTATCCATCACTGAAAATATTATAGGCAAGTAGCTATTAAAGTTTATTCAATTTTTAATTGCTTGATTTGAGAGTTAAGCAGTTCTGACATTTTTATAAAAAAATACCATAATTACACACATAGCTGCCCATAACGATCATCTTAAGTAAAAGCCAATGAATATACCTCTCTGCCAAGTGATGGTGGTTGGGTCAAGGTCAAGACGGACAAACTTGTTAATTTCTTCTGGGGTTAGTTCATTAGGGTCTGTTTTGGAAATTCCAAGTTTCTTTAGAGAAAAAAATCAAAATGTGGTTAATACCCAAATATGTTTCACCATCACCACTAAAAACCTTTACTTTGTAGAAAAAAATGCTTCCGTTTACTAACAAAGTACAAGCACATGTATAATCATTACCTTAAATTTTGAATTTTCCTAATTTAAAACTACTGTACGTGAACATAAATTGGCATATTCAAAATTTAGCGCATTCACTAGGAATTGAGTTGTATGTTGGTCTATTCATGAATTAACGCTAGACACTTCTGCACTGTAGATTGTATTTGCATCTGAATTCTTAGTGGTATTGATAAATTAATGCATCTTTATCTGCACCAAAGCCTTTAAAATATGAAGCCCGCTTTTTTAAGTACACAAACAGTATCTACATAATTGTACCTTTAGTCTAGAAAACTGAATTTTGGAGAAGGCACGTTTTCCTTTATTGTCGGGAACAAGTCTGCGATACAAGTCCTCATCTTTCTGTGTACTTTCATGGAACATACGAGCCTCAATCTGAGCGGCCAATAGATTATTGGCTGCTGTGATGGCATGGATGTCTCCTGTCAGATGCAGGTTGAACTCCTCCATTGGAATGACCTGTGAATAACCCCCACCTGCAGCGCCACCTAGAATTTAAAACAGAGTGTTGTAAATGACTCTGTTATACATGAAAAAAGGATAAATATATTATTCAACTTTGTAATTACAATCACATTTTCTGACAGCATCACAAGATAAAGATAATTATATTTTAAAATAACTTAATACATTTTTATACCTTTAATGCCAAATGTTGGACCCTGAGAAGGCTGTCTGACACAAGCAAACACATTCTTCCTCAGTGCAGCTCCTAATGCCTGAGCCAGACCAATGGTTGTGGTACTTTTGCCCTCACCAAGTGGTGTTGGAGTTATACTGAGGTAAAAAATAGTTTAATATATTGAAACATCTAAAAGGTTACAGTGATGACAATTTTGGCCAAGAGCCATGTGCAAAAATCTAATGGCAAAGCACAATGCAGTTTAGCATTGCGACTCTGACAAAGTTATATTAACTTGTAATACATAATACACTGTACATACGTGTATATTCATGTAGAATATACTGTAATACATACACAAAGAAATTAACAAAAAAAATAATATACCCTGTAACAACAATGTATCTGCCATCTTTCTGTCCCTGCAGCCTTTTGAGGACATCCAGTGAAACTTTGGCTTTCTTCTTTCCATACAAGTCCACCTCTTCTGGGAGAAGGGCAATCTCCTGGGCTATCAGTTCCACATTCTTTGGTGTCTGTGACTGGGCAACTTCAAGGTCACTATTGAGTTAAAATGTATACATTGCATTAAAATTGCTTATCCCATTCTCATTGAGAAGTGAAATGCAGAAAAGGTTTCAAGTTCTGCATCAACACTGTAGATAGAGCTGATTTTAAACTTTGACCTCTGACCTTGGAACTGGAGTTTTGCAGTTCAGGGGCAGCAACTGTAGATTCCACATTCCACTACCCTATAAAAAGGACTATCTGTAATATACATTCTACTTAGTATGGGGAAAAAATGTAAGTAAGGAAAAGTTTCTTTGATAAAGAATATAAACAAAGATCACAATATTCACTAGTTACCCCAGATTTTTCCACCATTCTCTTAGCCTGCTCAAAAGTGTTCTGGAGTAACATGGCCACCGTCATTGGCCCCACACCCCCGGGGACAGGGGTGATCCAGGAGGCCACACCCTTAACCTCCTCAAAGGCCACATCCCCCACCAAACGCTTCCCAGACTTCTTTGTGTCATCTTCAAAGATACAGATCATCTTGATAATTTCAAATAAGTTTGAATCTTTATTACTGTAATATCTGAGAAATAAGACAATATGATTACCTGGAATGGAGTTGATGCCGCAATCTATGACAACAGCACCCGGTTTCACCCAATCCCCTTTCACAAACTCTGCTTTCCCTATGGCAACCACTAAAATGTCTGCTGTTTTCACCTTTAAGTTTAACAGGATAAATATTGAATCAATTTTTATTAATTTAAAACACATTAATCGATGAAAATTTCATTTCTGTGAAAGGTTCTTTAGTTGCAAAAAATAAATCATTCCTGCATTATAAAGGGAAGTAACTCTTTTTACGCATCTTATGGTGGGTGAACAAAACACTTTAGTTTGTGAATAAATTCTACTATATTTTTACTAAATACTAAATATCTCATTAAAATGAAACCAGAAGAAATCTAGGTAATTTACAATAAAAGTTAATGTTGGAAGTAAACGATTAAAAACCTTTTCATTTCTGTTTGTGATTATCAGAAAAAAACTCATCTCAATACAGTAAAACCCAGTTATAACGAAGTCACTGGGACCTATGAAATTACTTTGTTATATCTGTAATTCGTTATATCCGTGTACCGGTAAGAATTTGTTAAATTTATATAACTGGGGATTCAAGATAACTTCGCTATATCCGCTATAACTTCGCTATATCCGTGAATTCGCAATATCCGTGTTCGTACAGAGTTTTACTGTAACAGACTAAATTTACAATATCTGGCAGATTCTGTGTCTTGGAGTGGCACACTGTCACAGTAGCATGATTCCACTTTAAGAGGTCCGCCATAGGTGACCCCACAATCTTACTGCGCCCCAGAACCACGGCCGTCTTACCCACCACCGAAACACCTAGTCAAAATTACAACAAGATTTTATATGACACCTAGTCAAAATTACAACAAGATTTTATATGACACCTACCAGTAGTCAAAATTACAACAAGATTTTGCATGACACCTAGTCAAAATTACAACACAATTTATATAACACCTACGGGTAGTCAAAATTACAACAATAATTCATATTTCACTTGGTTTTTTATTTAAGATTCATGGATGAAAGAATTTTTTAAAGATCCCCTTTGAAGTCAAATCTTAATTTCTTGAACTGGTTGGTGGGAGCAAGAAATTTTTTTTAAGGTATTCTAGGAATCAAGGTATCAAGGGTGAAAGAATAAGTGGATGGAACTTCTAAAATCAATTCATCATATCCTTGGTATTTGAGATATCAGATATTGATGTCAAAACTTTTGAGGCCCCCGACAAAAGAAAAGTTTTCAAAAATACTTCAATTCCATTATCAGTATACTCACTAGATTTTTTAATAAGCTCTAGACATCCCCTTGGAGTACAGGGAAATATACATTCCTCAAGGTCACCTCTGGCCAGTTTTCCAGCATTGGATTCATGTAGTCTAAAACAGAATTATCAATTTTATTTCCATATTTTAGTGATTATACATGTATTTGCATGGTTAAAAGTCAAATTGCTTTTATGTAACAATTTAATTCAATGTTAGATAACCTTCCTAATGCAACCTTATTGTTCTGTGACTCCCCCCCTTTTTTTTGTACAAGTGAAAGACAACATGAGGTAATAAAAAATGTTAACATATAGGAAGAGTTAAGAAGGTTGGTTAGCTACATACGTTTAGTAAAGGAAAATTATTGCAAGATTAGATAATACTTCATACATTACTGATTATAAAATATTTCTATAAAATTAAAAGTTTTTATCTGGAAGTATTTTGACATTTGATTGTTATAGAAGTTCATCATATATGTAGTTTGAAATCACTCATAATAAATAAGAAACAGGAAAATTGAAACATGCAATTTCTGGGATTTCAAAGACTTCTAGATTGGTTAAAGATAGCATAACTATAAACATTGGTGTGTGGGGACGTTATCCTTCCACATTATAACTCCCTTTTTGCAAAAGCCTGCAACTTTGCCCCGGATTAAGGATTTCTTCTATATTTTTTTCTTAACATGTTCCATGTTATGTTGATTGTTGAAAGTCTAGTTATTTATTTTAATTACCAATCTGAAAGTACTTAACATACCTCCATTACAAAAAGAGTCTCCTGAAATTGCACATTCCATATCTATATGTATATCTATAACATTTAAGATAATGGTACACTCTAAGTGCATTTAGCTAACATTTATTCTCTAACAGAATCAGATTCGACAATTCATTCATATACACGTGTCACAAAACATTTTTTATGTGTTCACATTTTTTGAAACTTACCCATCAACATCTTTCTCTGGTTTAATGGCATTGGTCACCAAATGTGAATCTATTTCATTTACAGAATCCAGGGGTAACTGAAAAAATAGTTGTTGTTTTTTTTATATAATAAAATCAGTTGATTTTTTTCTTTTTTATTATTTGCAATTGGATGCAAAAGGTAAAGAAGAAAGGTTACTCACCTGAACAATAATTCCATGTACACTGGAATCATTGTTTAACCTTTCTACTGTTTGAAGAACCTTAAAGAAAACATATTGATTTGCAGTTTTGAGTTCATTTTATGTATATATGTTTTTTCTGTAGATATAAAAAATTCAGAAAAAATGACAACGAAGTAAACCTCTGTCTGTGTGGCTGTCTGTGGTAGTTTGACATGGGTGGCTTTAACTCCAACCGTTTCTGCATTTTTGAGCTTCTGCTTAATGTACACATTTGAATCTTCTCGATCCCCCACCTCAAAAGTAAAATAAATTACATTTTTTTTAATATCTATGATAATAAATTAATCTACATATTTTGAATTAGCTAAAACAGATCCAATAATGTTATTTTTGTAATATAAACATGTAAACGAAATACAATGGACTTTTGCTAATGCATGAAGCTAAGAACAGAAAATGTGAATATTTTCATATTTTGGAATTTAATGCAATACTTTTTATAGTGCATTAACATAAGAATGCATTGATGAAGAGGGCTGGGGCAACTTCTGACCTGTACAATGGCTAGTCCTGGCAGAAAACTGGGTTTGTTTTTCTTGTAACTTTCAATATCAGCCTTGAGTTTAGTTCTTATTTCCCTTCAATATTAACAAAAATCTTAAAATACAATCGAACATTACGTAATAAAATCAAACTTATGGTTTCTTTTCTCAATTAATTTTAATTTTTTATTGCTATCTAAATTATGTTACATTATCGAGTAAATTCGGATTAAAGATAAAAGTTCATTTAAGATTTCCAACAGACAATGACAGCAGCATCAGTGCATATTTTATAGTAGTTTATATTACTCTGAAACATCCTTTCCACTCAGAATATTTGCCATGTTGTTCCCTGCTGTATTATTTTCTGAAGTTAGGTGGATTATTGGATATCATTTCAGGTAACCCTGCACGTGAAATCATCAAGGGGCGTAACTCTTAAATTAGATTGTCCTTGAAACCGTAAGAATATTTAGGCCGTGGTAAATAACGTTTTACATCCCTTCATTCTTTCGACCAATACTGAATAGAACATATTTTTTATTACAAAAATAATGTATAGATAAGTAAATAAATTTAAAAAAATCAATAAATAATTAATTAGATAAATAAATAAATAAATAAATAAATAAATAAATAAATAAATATATCATAAATACAAAACATTTTTTATGTGTTCAATAAATAATCCACATTTATCATTAATAGTAAGCAATATCTACATTGGAATGACGAGAAAAAAGTCAGGGTGTGCTCTTGTCATGTACAGCGGCGGATTCAGAGGATGTTATATATATAGGGGTTTGCACCCCCCCCCCCCTTGGGATTCGCTAAAAAGAGAGGAAAAGAAGACCTCATCTGATATAGAGTTTTTGTCTCCAACTTGATGCAGTTTTTGTTACTATTGTAAAACCATTGTAGAAAATAAAATACATCAAGTTTCATATCATTATGACTGTCTTAAATATAAAAAATTGCGAAAAAAGTATTATCCTATGAACATTTGTAATTTAAAGACGTACAACACACTGGTGTAAAGAAAATCATTACAAAGTACTATGTAATCCTGACAATCATGACATTGCAGTTCATTCTAGAAGGCTATCATAAAGGGTGTTAAGAAAGTTTGTTCCACATTTTCTTTTTTTTCAACAAGAAATACGATGAGAAGATATTTACAGTTTGTGATATTTCATGTTTACAGAGTCCATTCTTGCCAGTCAGAATATTTGCCATGTTTTTACTGTATTTTTTCTGAATTAATAAGGGGTACCCTGCACGTGAAATTAAAACATAAATTAGATTGTCCTTGAAAAGAATATATTTAGGCCGTGGTAAATAATGTTTTACATCCATTCATTCTTTTGTAATAGAACATATTTTTTATTACAAAAAAATAAATAGATGAATATATAAATAATTTAAATAATTTAAATAAATAAATAAATAAATAAATAAATAAATAAATAAATAAATAAATAAATAAATAAATAAATAATCCACATAAATTTATCATTACTAGCATATATATTCTTCTTGTCAGGTACAGTGATTCTAGGGGAGGGGGGGGGGGGGGGGTTGTTCTTTTTGGATTTGCTACCTCGTCTGAGTTTTTGTCTCCAACTTGATGCAGTAAGAGCATGTTCTACCTAGTACCTACTTTTTGTTACTATTGTATATTATAAAACTGTTGTAGAAAATGAAATGTTCATTGGATAATACTTTTTTGGCAAATCTTTATATTTAGGACAGTCTTAATTATATGAAAAGTATTTCATTTTCTACAAGACGCACAACACACTGGTGTAAAGAAAATCATTATAAAGTAATATGTAATCCTGACAATCATGACATTGCAGTTCATTCTAGAATTTAAGGCTATCATAACTACTTATGCTAATTTTTACATGAATATTTTGAATAGCGTCCTAAAAATAGAGTACAATAATATATAACAATTGCCTTAATCAGTTCATTTCTGTCCATATTAAACTGTTCAGGTTGTATAATGATTATGTATATAAACTTAAAGTTGTAAACATAGCTGACTTCACACAATCTGATCTGTACACAAGTTTGCATATATGTATGTACTTCAGTTTACCAGTAATGTGAAAACACACTGTATGTAGCATAATTGTATGCCAACATGTTTGGTGAATCAGTAAACTGAAATTGAAAAAAATGAACGTACGATCACTTTCAAAATGAGGCAAGCTCCTGACAAATAAGTTGATGAAATTGGGATATCTCGCATATTCCACGGTAAATGATCTATTCAGCAAATGCATTGTTCAAGTTGAATGTTGACTTCTGACATTTTTCTTAAATATTTTAGAATGATTTTTTCATCAGCCCGACCATGACTAGGAACACACAGGCTATGCTCATGATAATACTTGAGCCCATGTCTCACTCTGACTGATGTTTTTAAAAAGTCTACGTTAATTCTGTTCCCATATTCTATTGTTTCAAATAGACAATGGATTTTGAGCTTGATTATTGTCCTTTCTGACATATCTTATGCTATGAAATGAAATCTGCAACATTAAAAAAAAATTTCTGATCGAGCTCGCACTTCGGTTTCCGTTAATTTTACGTACAACCTAATACCGGAAACAGGTGTGTGTGGTTGCCAGAGAAAAGCGTCAACATGGCGGGCGACGATATAACGAAAGATTCAAAGAAATTGGATGAATTCATCAACAAAGTGGATGAAATTGAGACTTTGGTACGAAATACAGATTTCTTACATACCTAATTTATTTTTTAATGTCTGTCGAATCCATCGACTGACCTTCTCGGCTTCTGATTGTGAGGTTGTGACCTAGCGAGGAAATTTCTAGAATGCTTGTGTTTGCAAGTACAAGTATTAGATATTTGGTCCCAGTGTAATGAATTTAATGAAACATATGGAGATAACGAACAGTATTCAAGATCAAAAGACTGTCCATAAAACAAAAAAAAAAATGAAATAGGAACAAAGCAAACTGTGAAACACGGACCTCTGAAACATCAGAGGTGGGATCAGGTGCCATGGAGGTGTGAGCTTCCCCTGCCGACAGTAATGTTTAAATTGGATTTGGACATTGAGAGCCTCAAGTCTGTTTTAGTTTTCATTTTTGAAAATTTTGATGAAAAGTTGTAAGGTAGATAATTGCAAGATGGGTGAATGCTAAGTAAACCACAGAAAAATATGGAATAAGCATATTTTTTAATCAATCAATTGAAAACAAATGTAAAATATATATATTTTCTGTTCAGGTGAAAACTCTCAAGTATGGAGAAGATAAGGATGTCAAACAAGCTATGCAGAAAGCTGATGAAATAATTGCCAAAAACCAAGCACAGCTAAATGAGAAGTTGAACCAGACAGAAGATGAGGAGGAGGAATCTAAGGAACCCTTACCCTCCACCAAAACGGGATTCAGTAAAACTGTAATCAACAAGTCCCCCTCCACAGCACCACCTCCCAGTGGTCCCCAGCCAATGGCACCACCAGATCAACTAGGTTTTATGGCAGCCATGGAAGCAGATGCAAGAGAGAGGGCAGAAAGGAGAAAAGTTGGTGAGAAGAAGGCTAATGAGTTGAAAGAGAAAGGAAATGAAGAATTCCGACAGGGGAATTATGAGAAAGCACTAGAGTTCTATACAGAGGGACTGACGCATATTAAAGATCATCTCGCTTTATGGACCAATAAGGCACAGACTAACATTAAATTAGGTAGATATGAAGATGCTCTTGTTGACTGTGATTGGGCAATAAGGGTTTTTAACAACAGCATGAAAGCCCATGTTCTGATGGGAAAGGCTAATCTTGGTCTTAGGAAATACAAGGAAGCAAGAGAGGCTTACAAGAAAGCTCTTGAATGTGACCCAACCAAACAAAACCTGATCAACGACTACTTGGCAGAAGTTGATAGGGCGGAACGGACACAGCAGGAGGAAGATAAGGCAAAGGAGGCTTTTCAGGCAGGTGATAAAGGCCCTGTAGCTTTACTTCAGCAACTCCAGAAGAAAGACCAGCTTCCTATTTACTACAGTGGAGGATTTCAAATAATGCAAAATTTCCTGAAAAACAATGAAGAACGGACTCTCTTTAGAACAGAGGGAGGATTCCAAATTGTTAATGAACATCCATGCTTCTCTAAATGTTTTTCTGCTTCACCAAAGAGTCTGTCAAAGGAGGAATTAGATATGTTGAACTCCGGATTGTGCATGTTCAGTTTGGCTTGTGAAGATAATGAGAAGAATCAGGAAGTTTTCTTGTGTATCGAAGGGATGCCTGACAAACTGATGAGGTTCATGGAAGTGAAAATGAAAGGTCTAGGTCGTGTTCTTAAATCCAGTTGTGTGAAGATTCTTCACACAGTGACGATATCTGTTATTGGACGATCATTGGTGTTTCAAAAGTTTGACATTTCCAGATTACTTACCATTGTGTTCAACTTGATCAGAGCAAATGATGATGCTGCATTAACCGCAGGATGTGTTCTGAACAATCTGGCCCTTGACAACAAGTTTAAGCAGCAACTAAGAGATAAAATTGAAATAAGTGTCATACCGGCTTTTGAAAATCTTTTGAAGGAGGGATCTAGTAAACAGTCCGTTCTACCCTCCTGTGTCTCCACAATCACCAACCTCTCCACTGATGTTGTCATCAGGAAAAAGATTTCCGACAGGAAAGATCTCTGGAAAATCCTTTTAGACACTGTTTCTAACCACAAACAAAAATTACCTCAACCTATCAGTGTGGAGCTTGTGGAAGCTTGCTTAGGCCTCATATCTAATTTGACCCATGAACAAACTAGTATGAACTTTAAGGAGTTTAGTCTTCCCATTTGCAAACAGTGCCTCATGATCTGTCAATCGCTGAAACACTACAAGTTGATGGTATCTCGCAGCCTAGGCATTCTCAGCCACATCTTACCCTACTCCATTCCATCAGTGGACTGGTTTTGTGACAACGTAGGGGTGGAGGTCTTGGTGTTCATTTTGAAGAACGACGAAGAATCGGCCAATAGGAAGTTTGCCCTGAAGGCCCTTACTGGCTGCACTCAGATAAATGACCATGCCCGAATTTTCGTGGTGGACCACAAAGGATTGGGGACTCTGATAAAACAACTGCAATGTGAGGATGAGACTGTGATAGGAAATGCTGCTCTGTGCCTCAGCCACTGCACCCAGGTGCCCAAAGTTTGTGCAGCCCTAGCAAAGACTGATATCATTAAGGACCTCTTGGTTTTGGCGCGAGATGGAAAGAAGTCTGGTCTCCAGCAAAATTGTGCCATTCTTATAGCTAAGCTTGCTCAGGGTGATAAGAGGCATTTAGAAAGACTACGGGAACTTCATGGAATTGACATTCTACATGACTGCATGAAGTACTTGAAATGATAAAGTATTTGAATGTGTTCTGTTAATGTAATGTTTTGGATATGTATTGAAAAATGGATTAAGTTGGGGATAACTGTAAATATGCATTCATATGAAGCATTAAAAAGATTCATAATGTTCTATTTTTTATAACCATTTGAGTGAGTCTGTACATAAATTATTGTAAAAATATATTTTCTTTGATGTTTATAGTGAAGTTTGAAGGAAGTGAGCTCAGAATATGTATTGGTTTCATTTAAAAGCAGACCCCCCCCCCCCCTCTGAGGGAAGCAAAGAAATACTTTAATAAAAAAAATTGGTACTATAAAAAGAAGTTTGATGCTAGGATCTTATGCAAGCCCCTATGTATATATACATATTTATTAACCTGTGTTGTTGTTAATATTAATAAAAATAAATGAATAATAAGTGTTTGTGAAACACTGATAAACCCCATATATGGCACTTATGGTTAGGGTTCAAATTCCTCAAATGCGAGTTTACTCCGACCAAGATCAGTCAAAATTATTGGTACAAAAGAAAAGTCTTGTCTCAAGGAATACACCAGTGAAATTTGAAAGCCCTAGTTCTAGCAGTTCAAAAGTTATGTCTGAGGTCAAAGGTTCTTGAAAGTGGGTCATAGTCTAAGGTCAAGGTTAAATGTAAAAAAATATTTATACCCATGGAAAGGGCTTGTTACAATGAATTTGAAGTATGAAAGCCCTAGCATCAAGCTGATAAACTGTTCAAAAGTTATGACCAATTAAAGTAGTAAAAGATGGTCTAACTCCGAGGACAAAGTCAAGAGGTCAAATTTGGTGGTACCCAAAGAAAGTTCTTGCCACAAGGAATACACTTTTGAAATATGAAATCCATAATTCTATTTACTCTATTAAAAGTTATGGACAGGTTCAAGTTTCTGCAGACAGACAGACGGACAGGGCAAAAACTATTTACTCCCAAATCTTTAATTACAGGGAGGAATGGATTCACTTTCAATTTTAAATTCTAGTGTTGCTTTCAAAAGCACTTGTTTCGAAAACTGGGCACTGCAAGTTATTTAGAAGGGGGTGCGAAACAAGTGCCTCTTAGTTACTTTGACCTACGTTAGCACGAATTACTTTTGGTACGAGCTGCTTATTCCGGAAGTTGGACGTGGAGAGGGGAAAATATTGCAACAGAAAATAAATTTTCCAGAAAGTGTTTGTTACTCGTATGAGAAGCGCTTTCAACAAGGAAATTTCCACTTATTTATTGGAGTGTATGTCCAAGAATATTCTGTAAACTATGAAGACTTCGTAGTGATTCAGATATCGTGAAAATTCCACTGAAAAGGAGGGACATATGGTTTTCTCATAAAAGAGAAAATCCTGGTTGCAGCTGTTTATTTATTTTTTTCTTTGTAAATTAACTGGTAAAACTTAAAGCAGGAAAATGGTTTTAGCAGATTTAGGAAGGAAAATTACATCCGCCCTGCGGTCTCTGGGCAATGCCACCATCATTAATGAAGAGGTTGGTACATGTCGATATTCAGAATATAAATTATAATCTATCAAACATTGTCATGACTGACTTTCACTAACTGGATTTGTAAATGAAAATTAATTTATATTCAAGAACTTCTTAATTCAAGTAATCATTTACACCTTAAAGTTGAATATGTTTTCCAAAAGGCTAGTAATCTCATTTAGACTAAAATTTTGTTTTCACTTTTGACGTCTTGTCTGATATGTCAGTACAAAATTTCTAGTCTCGTCAAATCATATGGGAATTAAAAGGCTTGATTAGATTGCATTTTTGGTAGTACTTAAATAGTACATATGCTACATATTGTCATTTTTCTAAATTTATGTTTATCAAAATATTCCAAAATGCAGAATAAATATGAAGAGAGTATTGAATGTAATAATTATCAATAATTCTGGAATTTGCAGGTACTAAATGAGATGCTGAAAGAAATTTGCAAAGCATTAATAGAAGCGGATGTAAATATCAAACTTGTCAAGACTCTGAGAGAAAATGTCAGGTACAGTATAAATTTACATAATCAGGTAGTACAGATAATGTTATTGCACAAAAAGTTATTGAGATGATAGGGTTTGACATTAACTTTTAACTACTGGACCAGTCAAGCTACTTTCCATAATTTTACTAGCCATGACGGAATACCAGTAGCCCTGACCTGACTTGCATATGAACTTTTTATAACCCTGAGATTGTTGTTTTAGATTCTTCCATTTTTTTCAGAGAATGATTGATCTGAAGCCAAATAATTATTTTATTTTAAACATTGTTTACTACACATAGGACAAGAGCAACTATAAATCAAATTGTACTTTTACCTGAATCAACAACCTAACAGCTCTTCTTTTGACCTGCAACTTTTTTTTTTACTGTCAAGAATAAAAATGAAGAATTTGTCATGAGGGAAATTTTCCTTAACATTGCATTGGCTGGGTGCTTACTAATCTAGTTTGGTCAAATGTGCCTTAGTGTCAAACCCTGGATGACATGGTAACATAGGAATGGCAGAAATAAAAAGAAATAGTCAAAAGATACAATGTTTTCCTCTACTTCCAGGTCTGTCATTGACTTTGATGAAATGGCTGGTGGTTTGAACAAGAGAAGAATGATACAGTCAGCTGTTTTCAAAGAACTGGTCAAAGTAAGTAAACATTGGTATAAATTAAAATAGAATTTTCAGTCTATTTTAAAGGAAAAAGATTTTCATGTAAAGTTTAAGTCTAGATTACAAATATACTTATGAACTGTATGTAAGGACTTTCTTTTGGTTTTATTCACAGACAGTAAAAAGTAAAATAATTGCAATGCTTTGCATTAACTGGGAGAGGATAACATATTCAGCTTTTCTTAATTTTATATCAGTGAGCTGGGACCTCTTAGACTGTTAATTATATAAAGAATTATTAAATAGAATAAATTATATACTGTTCTGATATTTATTAAGGGGTTAATTTACTAAAGTGTACACTTTTTATCACTAAAATAGCTGATTGATCCTGGTGTTAAAGCCTGGACACCCACCAAAGGAAAAAACAATGTCATCATGTTTGTTGGACTTCAGGGGAGTGGTAAAACAACCACATGTACTAAAGTAAGTATACAGAGGCCTGTGTGGGTAGGTTTACCGAAGGAAACTTTTTTTCTTAAAACTTTGGAATTTATTAATTGTATCTATCAAAATTTAAGTTTAGTACAAAACCAGTTGAATGGGGCTATGAGCACTGTATTCATAAACCATGGAATATGTATACCTGACAACGTACTTATAAAGAATATTTCAATTTTCAGCTTGCGTATTATTACCAAAAGAAAGGATGGAAAACATGCTTAATTTGTGCTGACACTTTCCGTGCAGGAGCTTTTGATCAGCTGAAACAGAATGCCACCAAAGCAAGAATTCCCTTCTATGGAAGGTAACTAACAAACAAGCCAGAAAAATCCATTTTATAGAATGTCCTATTTTGGGTGTTTTGTCATTGTACAATTTTTTCTCACAGTTACACAGAAATAGATCCTGTGTTGATAGCACAGGAGGGGGTAGAGAAGTTCCGATCGGAGAATTTCGAGATTATCATTGTGGATACGAGTGGTCGTCACAAACAGGAAGATTCGCTGTTCGAGGAAATGTTACAAGTCAATAACGTCACTGTAAGCTTAACTCAGTTTTGCCATATTTTATTACTTATATTAACAGATGGATATAAAAAATAATTAAACAAATAAAGTCTTTTTTCGATGCAATCCCTAAACGTACATGTATATAGACCTTACAAAAAGCACTTTTTGGGCGGACGATATGCTTATTCTGAGGTCTATATATCTAGAGATAAACCTCATCGAAAGGCTTACTTTATATAATGACTTTTTCTACCAATAAGCGATAAGTGAAAGTCAATATAATATGGTCATTAGTAAAGTCTTTAAAATTAGATTTCTTGTACTAAGATGTCTCACTCCATATCAGATTAGAATTAATTAAGGAATGGGACCTTAGTTTTTGAGCATACTTTTGAAGAATCAAAACGGAGAAGGTGAAGAAATATTCCAGACTAGGAACTTTTGTTATGTTTGTCATGTATGATATGAAAGAATTTTAAAACAAGTTTACTTTGTAGAATCCAGACAACATTGTGTTTGTGATGGATGCTTCAATTGGTCAAGCATGTGAGGCACAGGTAAGCTTTATAGAAAAAATGCATTCTTTATATCATTTGTATGCGTAAATATGAAGTTTGATAAATGTTGATATTTGAACAGTAGATCAGAGGAAATAGATTTCCCAGGATTATTTTTGTCAAAGGTGTATTAGAATGACTTTTATTTGTACAGGCCAAAGCCTTCAAAGACAAAGTAGATGTTGGTTCTGTCATTATAACCAAATTGGATGGCCATGCCAAGGGAGGAGGAGCACTCAGTGCGTAAGTACATGTATCAATACTGGTAGACTAACATGCCACATAATGGGTAATTTAACAAATGGTCAATAAAATAATTTTTATCTTAAACGCTAACATTTGAATGAACTACATCTATTTTTTGCATCTACATGACTATCACTAATAATGCCAAAATTAGATGATATCTAAAATATTTTCCTTATACATGTATTGTACTGCATGTTGTAAATGAAAATCTCAAGAATTCTTGATGAAGAAAGGGAGTTAACTTGGAAGTGATTTCTTAAGTGTTTCTCACAAGAGTTAAGATTTAAAAATTCACTGTATTTTTCTTTCAGGGTGGCAGCCACAAAGAGTCCTGTGATATTTATAGGAACAGGAGAACACATTGACGATTTCGAACCTTTCAAAGTTCAACCTTTTGTCAGCAAATTGTTAGGTAAAACTTTAATAATTTATTTGTCATTAAAAAATGCTAGTTCTGAAAAATCACAGAGATTAAGACAATGGTATATTGCCATAATAAATTTCATGTACAAGGAATGAATGAATGAATGTGGTTAAAATTTGCTATGATAGGAGGGTCATAGACAAAGTGAATGAACTGTTTCTTTGAAGACACAGAGGTTCTCCAACAAGGTACCCCCTTTAAAGTCAAATTATGACATTCATGAATTTAATGTTTTGATCACATTATTTTACAACTAAATAACAAAAAATGTGTATTTTAATCTAGGTCAGTTCACACTACGAGACATGTATGAACAGTTCCAGAACATCATTTTTTTAGTCAGATCATGGTAAGAGATATTTTCTTTGATAGACAAAATTTGAAATGAACTGAAACTCGGACGAATCTAAGTGTGGCTTTTAGTGTGCTGAATGCTCCTTTGTTGAAGCAGGTGACAGTCTTTAAAATCAAAGTGCACTACAATTTTCATTCGCTAGCATTTCTGAATTTCCTCAATGTACGGTGAAGTAAAGACACATGATCTTGGCATTATTTTACCTCTGAAGAAAATAAACAAAAAAAAATTAAATTTTTTTTAAAGTTTTTTCAGGTAATTTACACAATAATTGAGTAATGTTTATTTCTTATTATAGTACAAACAAGTTCCAGATTCTTAATCACATATTTAGAAGATATTGGATGACACCATAGCTATTCATAGAATTGCATGTTATCTTAAGATCGTTGTTTTCTTTTCTTTATCCACTTACATTTAAAGTATGATGGATTATCTCATTTACAAAAAACAATTTGTTAATGCACTGAAATCCTTTATTAATAAACCATTTTTATGAACACCGTATGCAAGGGTTTATGATGAGATTTCACTGATCAGAAACCCTTGCACCACAATATTAATTTAAAATAATTTTACACTTAATTAATAATGTACATGTAAATGTAGATCATTATGTAATATAAATTTTGTGTTGTTGACAGGGCATGATTCCTGGATTCAGCTCAGACTTCTTGACCAAAGGAGGAGAACAGGAGTCCATGGCTCGTCTAAAGAAACTCATGACCATTATGGACAGTATGAATGACAAAGGTTAGAATCTTATTAAATTTATATATATTGTTCGTAAAATATGTCTTAAGTTTATAACTATAAAGAATTTTGATATAAAATCTCAGGGTGAACTTTATCTTTTTTTAACTTCAAGGACCTGTGTCTGTCAAAAATAGTTTGCCGAACCTTTGAAGAATCAAAACACAACAAATTTTATATCTGCCAAGTAAAGAAACCTGTGATATAGTATTTAGCAAGTAGATATGTAAGCTTGCTAAGTCTTGTTTTCCCTATAACAGAGTTGGATAGTTTGGATGGGGAGAGGTTGTTTACCAGACAGACTGGACGTATACAGAGGGTAGCCAGGGGAGCTGGGGTGTCCATAAGGGAGGTCAACGAGTTACTGACCCAGTACAAGAAGTTTGCTCAGATGGTGAAGAAAATGGGAGGCATCAAAGGACTCTTTAAAGGTAAGCATTCATAAATTATTTATAGGAAAAGGTATTTAAAAAATAGCAAGTAAACCTATGTACATGTACATTGTCATTGTAAATAATTCTAAATATACAGTGCCCTGTAATGTACTTTAACTATGTATGTATTTGGGGGGGGGGGAATAGTGAAAACCTCCACCAATTTTAGGGGAAAATGTACCAAATGTGTGTGCCATAAACTCATAAAAGATAGATAAATCTCATTTGGATAAATACCTATTGTGCTTTGTAATTTTGTTGAAAATCATTTACTAAAACAATCTTTTTAATGAATTAACAGAGGAATATTTACATTTGCAAATGTTTTCCTTTACATAACACTACTGAAGGCAAGCGTTTTTATAACTGTGTAAATACAGGTTTGGGGTCAAGAGGTCATAGATGTGCGTTTGGATAAACATTCCACGTAATTTCTCTGTGACGTCATAAATGGTCGACGCGCGTTTAGTGGATTACATACATGCCGTTGGGTTTGAAAAATTAACGCATTTCACACGTTAAAAGTAACAATCAGGCAAATATAAAGTATGAATAAGTCACAAATGTAAATATAAGAAATAAGGTATCATTTTTGGAGTTTTATTGAGATGTAATACGGGTTGACACATGATCAAATCTTCCATAAAGCCCTTCGGGCTTTATGGGATTTGATGTTTTACATTCAATAAAATAAAAAATGATACCTTATTTCTTAAATAATGAAACTTTTAAAAATGCCACATATTCATTTTTTGATTGGCTTGCAATTGTAGGTGGGGACATGAGTAAGAATGTGAATCCCTCTCAGATGGCCAAACTGAATCAACAGATGGCAAAAATGATGGATCCCAGAGTTCTACAGCAAATGGGTAAGTGGAGCATTCTTAGTAAAACTAGAGGAGGAGATTTAGTGTCTAAGTTTGAGTTTTGTTTTGTCACAGATATCACGAAAGCTGCTTTGTAAAAACTTGAGTCAAGGTTGAAATTATGTCAATTATGCATGTACAATTACAAGCTCAAAAGTGGACTGAAGGCTGAAGCCACAGTTTCGTGGCGTTTCTTTAAAGTGCTTGAGAGCATATAGTTGAGTAATATAGAATGATATAAAAGAATTTGGTGATAGAATTTGTTAACAATGACATGTAGTTTAGGAATGTATAAATTAACTAAGTGTCCAAAAATATGCATGTACTTTGTTTCTTATGAAGGAGGAATGCAGGGACTCCAGGGCATGATGAGACAGTTCCAGCAGGGAGCTGCAGGAAAGTTTGGGAACATGTTTGGAAACATGGACAGATAACACATGGGGGGATTGTGAACAGAGAAATCAGTGGACTCCGATTTTCCCCGTTGATTGTGCCGTGTTTTAAGTCATCGAGTCTCTTGTTGTCACACATCATGGATGAAAATTGTTAAATGAAGATACAATCCTTATTTCATGAACTTCAACATGTTTATCATGTGCCATTCTCATTTCGTGCATATATTTAATGTGAATATTTTAATGAAGTACATGTATGAAATATGTTGAAATGTTCTTTTGCAATGTGTACTGGATGTACAATGTGCATGTACATGTAATTTTATGAAGACTGGATTTTACATTTGTGTAATTGTAATAAATGTTTTGTGATAACGAAACCATTGATTTCAACATGGTGCATTTACATATTCATGTATCTTGTAGGTAACTGGTTTGATTTGTAAATTTAAATTTGTCTAATGTTCTCATTGTTAACAAAGACCCAGTTGAGATAAATGAACTTTCATATGACGTCTTTTTTTTATTTCCTACAACATTGAGTTGATTTAAGAGGGCTGGATGGTTGTGGCTTTTTGTCTATATTGATCTCCTTTAGAAGAAGAGCTCAATATAAAAATACACAAAATTAATCAAATTTTAAAACTAAAATGTATGAAATTTTTCATTGCTAAATGATGTTTAACAGCTTGAGATATCATATCTTAAAAATGAATTTATATCTGCTGGTTTCATTCACCTCCCAGCTTCCTTAAAAGGATTAATATTGCAAATTTACTCATTAGTGAAATACAGTAAAATGTATATAATGAAGTGCCAGGGACAAACAGTTTTGATTCGTTACAAACGTAATTTGTGTATCCATTTATAATATATAATAGAACCATAGAGAATAAAAGTAAATTCCATGTATAAAGCGTCAATTCATTACAAATGTGTTCGCTATAACCATGATTTAGTGTACTGCCTTTTAATAGAGGTACCAGATGAAAAGTATACATAGTCAAGTACATATGTGTGATACTAACAATGAAGTTCTCTGTTTAAAATTAGAACTGTCCAAACGGGACAAAATACCCCCCGCTGGTTTATTCAGAACTGCTAAATCATGAATATTTTATGGATCTAAGAGAAGAGAGAAATGCTAAAACATTTTTAGTGCAAATGTAGTTGCTCATTATATTTTTTATAAATGAAACGAAGGTGCAGCCTAATAATAAAAATAGACTAAATATACGAACCAGACAGGAATTATGAACTTTTTCTGTCAGTGACCTTGAATTGGCATAAATGACCTTGGTTTAAAGTCATGACACAACCTCAGGTTATAAGCAACATTTGTGTGAAGTAGTAAATTCAAGATTTTCCATAATAAAGAAAGATATGGACACAAATTATAAAATTTTTCTTCCAGTGACCTTGAACTTCCCCAAATGACCTTGACCCAAGTTCATGACACATCCTTAGGTCAGGAGGAATCTTTGTGTGAAATGAGAACCTACCAAGTTTATCCATAAGAAAGATATGGACTGGACACAAATTATGAATTTTTTCTTCCAGTGACCTTGAACTTCCCCATATGACCTTGGTTCAAGGTCATGACACACCCTTAGGTCAGGAGGAATCTTTGTGTGACATAAGAACCTAGCAAGTTTATCCATAAGAAAGATATGGACCGGACACGAATTATGAAATTTTTTTTCCAGTGACCTTGAACTTCCCCAAATGACCTTGGGTCAAAGTCATAACAAACCCTTAGGTTATAAGCAATCTTTGTGTGAAATTAGAACTTACCAAGTTTATCCATAAGAAAGATATGAACTGGACACGAATTCTGAATTTTTTCTTCCAGTGACCTTGAACTTCCCCAAATGACCTTGGGTCAAGGTCATGACACACCCTTAGGTCATGGGCTGTCTTTTGTGGAGTAGCAGATTCTAATGTTCCTCTGTAAGAAAGATATGGACCGGACACATTTGCACAGACAGATGGACAAGGTGATTCCTATATACCCCCCCAAACTTCGTTTGCGGGGGTTATAAATACTTAAGTAATTAACACAACAAATTGACAAACTTAAATGTACACAAACATTGATATAAAATCAATTAAGCACATGTGCATGCTGCTGCAATGCCCTCCATGCATAATGAATTAAAAAGAATGCAAATGTTTTTAACATTTTATTTTGTGTTGTAATGGAATAACAATTTCTATTAATATTACAAAGAATTCATTAATAATGAAACATATAATAAGGACATGATACATCACATTGTCAAATTGGGGAGAAAATAAATTATGCCTCGAGACATATTTGTATGTTTTTCTAAATCTCTTCACACATAGTGACAGTGAAAGGGATAAAAAGGAATTCTTTTGATCATCAACGCCTGTCCGAGATTCAAACAATTAATTGTACTACAATCCACTATAAAACAGTGAATTGTAAAGTCTGCATTTTCACTGAAAATGTTAAGATTAAATGATAAGAACAGTGACGTACCAACTTATCACACACACAATGTAAGAAAATCTAAAAATTAATGTAATGAAGCCATCATATCATTGATGCTTATGATGTATGCTCTTGACAAAATGGCATTTAAAATAACATTACAGTGCAAATATCTCATTCAATAAATATGCTCATTTTAAAAGTCATTTAAATGCTGCTCCTTTTTAGTCTCTGATCAAATTCTTGTGACCTGTGTGTCTGTTTCTACTGTTTCCATGTAGTCCCCTCCTGTGGCCCCTTCTCCAAGACTCTCTGTTTCTGTCTGCATTATCCATGGACCTTCAAAAGTAAGGATATTACTGGTATTAGGCACTGCCAAAAAATGGAAATTTTGTGAAATTCTTGAATATTTATGCCATTGTGTCAAAATGGTAGCACTTAGTGAAATACCCTGATTAATTTCACAAAGGATTTTTACCCATTTTATATTGCATAAATTATAAAGAAAAAAATGTTTGACAATAAAAATGATTGAAGCTGATCAAATCCTCAATTTTTGCCCCACCATAATCCCAAATTTCATTTTAAAAAATCCATACAACTTTAAAATCCTAGAATATCTGCAAAAGTACAAATTCCTCCTACCAGAAGTTGCCCCGTGCTGAGGTGGGGCCATGTGAATCACAGAGGGGGTTCTGCTGACACAAGGGGTGGGTGACCTTGAGGAAGAAAGGTCACATTGTTCAAGGAGTTTCACCAGTTCTTTGGCAGTGGGTCCACCATCCTTCACTGTTCCTGTCAAGTATAAAGGAAAAGTTTGAAAGCTCGTAGCACATAATCTTGTATACTGGAAGAAGTGCATGTTTAAAATAATATGAAATCATCTCTGCTCGTGGGGGACCAATGTTTGTGGATTTTGTAGTTCATCCTTTTCCCATGAATTTACATCCCAAGATTTTTTATTTTGTGGATACTAGTGTATTCTTTCATTGAATCTTCCATATTCAAGTTACCTATTTAAAGAAATAACCTCCTCAAGAACAAATAAAATTTGCCCACAAACATAGACCCCCACAAATTAAAATGATTTCACAGGTCTGCATTTACCAAATTTACAACTAAACTTGCAAAAATTTATTTAAAGATGTGAAAGACAGTGTTTTTTCGATCTCTCATAAGTGAAAATTTTGTAAATAAATGTCATAAGGCCAACCAGACAAACATTACAGACTTTTTAAAATGATTTGACGATCATCAAGATTGTGCAGTACAATGTACAGTGTACTTCACGCTTTTAAAATATTTATCGCTTGCGGAAATAAACTGTTCTTGACTATAAATCTTTTGTAATAGAAGAAATGAAACCAAATATATCTGTAAATCTTGTATCTTACATACCAAACATACTTTAAAATATTGATAACACACTAGTGGTTTGATTGTGTTCACGGTAAAGGTGTACTGAGGACTTCTGGTCTCTGTTTATAAAGTACACCAGCTATAACGTAGGATTTACCACATTCCTGTGAGATATATACATTATAAAAGATGTTTTCTGTATTACTTCAGACATTTTCTAACCTTGTTCAGTCTTGACCATTTTATCCAAAGCTGTAGTTAAATCCCACATCTGAAAATTCAAAGACAAATACATTAACCTTTATAATGTTAAAGAACTAGAAACTAGCCGTCAAAAAACATTCCAGACAAAAATATACTGTATGTGAATTTGATGATAATGATTTATTGTAGGGATGGCAGTTTGTAACCAGTTAACCATTAATAGGTCGGAATGATGTCAATTGGTTAGAAAATCTGTAATTGATTAGTCTGAAAAAATAAAATAATTCTATGTAAAATTGTATACAATTTTCTTAAAATTAATTTGAAACAAGATGTGTTTGTGCAACACTATGCGCCCGGCGGCAACACAATTTTTAAAAAACTGTCTTATGTCACAGTCAAAGTCACAAGGCCATTGATTTTGATATCATTTGAAAGAACTTGATGAGTAAATATCAAATATGCAGTCACAAGGTCATTGACCTTGGTTTCATTTGAAAGAGCTTAATTATTGGAGTATGCATACCAAATACGAAGTCTCTATCTTTCATGGTTCAAAAGTTAGGGTGAAGGTTAAAGTTTGCAAACAAACAAACAGACAGACAGATAGGACAACAAGAGGCCCATGGGCCACATCACTCACCTAAGTAGCTTGGGTGATGCAGTTCTTTACCAGATTTTCCCTCTTGCTATACCTATAGAGCCCCCCTACCCCCTCGCCTTTCATGATTTTAATACTTTAGAATCTACACTACCCCAGGATGCTTCTACATTAGTTTCAGCTTTCCTGGCCCAATGGTTTTTAAGAAGAAGATTCTTAAAAGATTTTTCCTAATACTTCTATGTAAAACTTGGATTCCCTATTGTGGCCCTGCCCTACCCCGGGGTCATGATTTAAAAATTTAATATCTACACTACCCAAGGATGCTTCCACATAAGTTTCAGCTTTCCAGGTCCAGTGGTTCTTGAGAAGAAGATTATTACATGTAAAGATTTTTTCTATACATTTATGTGTAAATTTTGGATTCCCTACTGTGGCCCCACCCTATAATCCGGGGTCATGATTTAAAAATTGAATATCTACACTACCCAAGGATGCTTCCACATAAGTTTCAGCTTTCCTGGCCCAGTGGTTCTTGAGAAAAAGATTTTGTAATGACCCCACCATATTTTTGTCTTTTCTTGATTATCTCCCCTTGGAAGGGGACTTGGGCCTTTACTTTAATAATTTAAACTCCCCATCCCCCAAGGATGCTTTATTTTAACTTTGGTTAAAATTGGCCCAGTGGTTCTTGAGAAGCAGTTGAAAATGTGAAAAGTTTACAGGTGGACAGACGTACTACGGACAAAATGTGATCATAAAAGCTCACTTGAGCCTTCGGCTCAGGTGAGCTAAAAATGTTTCCTTCATTGTTTGAAAAAAATTATCATGAGCTTATATAATCAAACTTTGCTAATTCATTCGTTACTTTCCTTAAGCAAACAATTACATTATATCAAAAAATGGATATATTTGAAAATAAATTGTTTACACTATAATATTTTCCCCAGTAATAACAGACTACATTTATCAATCTCATTCATTTAGTGGTGTATACATATCTGGGTTAACAGGACATTTAAATCTATATTTATCTCCAGCCAGGAAGTAAATTACAGATCTCGTCTAAGTCTCGACTAAAATCTAACACTGACATTCCAAAAGTTTGTTAACAGATGTATACATTTAGTGGTCATTTACATCAAAAGTAAGTACAGGGTTGCCTGAGGACTTTTTACTTGAATTTTTCTAAAAAAGGGTATTTTTGGGCAGATTCTCTGAGATAATTTAATATCTTAATTCAACAGAATAGTTTAAAAACTTAATTCCTTTATGGGGGCAATTTCCTCTTTCGCCTGGTTAGAGTATATTTGAATGATGAGGTGGATCCAAAACATATAAACAACCAAAGCATATTAAATGTTTTCATTCAGCTTAAAGTATAAGTACTTCAGCCTAAACTAATACGAGGGCTGTTCAATAAATAATGTCCTGAACTGTATACAATACAGATGTCATATGACATTAAACTTGACTTTCTCTCATTATTGAATCTTTAATGAATTTATAACAGTTTATGTGACCACTTTTCATCACATAGTTTCATTGTGAGAAACTGGGAAACAAGGGCTATTCGAGACACCGCATTATAAATAAGTGGTAAAGAACCAGTAAACTAGAGTGAAAATAAAAGCATCATTAAAGCTGCTGTTAAAAATCCCAAAGAAACAATCAGTGAAATTCAAATATGACATTTACAGCAACCAATGCCTGTTTTATAGACAAATGATCAGGTGGATTTCAATGATAAAAAATTATATAATGGGTATCAAAAATGGGTACTACCGTCCTTGCCAACAAAAATTATAACAATTATGTACTGTTTGCTAAATTTCAACAAATAATATTTGATGATGTACGGGAGTAGTTTACACTGTCTTTAAGAAACGTTTGACAGTAAAAAAAGCTAATGGTTCTCAAAGGTCACCCTATATTTTGAAAAATGAGTGAAAACGACAGTGTGTATGAATATCTTAACAATTATTTTAAAATACCAGTAATTTTAGTTATTCACCTTTGTTTGATATTCAAACAGATATTGGAACATTAATCTATTGCTTAAAACTCTCAAAACAAAATTTACCATAAGATGTACTTGATAAAAACAGCGAAGGTCTGACAAGAGCAAAGATATGCAAGAGCACAGATAGATTTATATGTAATTTTCTTTAATATTAGTGGTATTGTTGTTCAAATTCGCATTCGGGGAGACAGTTTTATTTCTGGAGGAGTCTAGAAAGAATTTTTTTTGCAAAAAAATGGAAAGGTTTATTAGAGGAAGGACCTAAAATCAGGAATCTCCTACATTAAATTTCTTCATGACAGTGTTTAAACCCGCACGGCCCAAAGGGTAAAGGGGTTTTCAGGATAAACAGAAAGTTAATGTTTTTTGACATTAACAATATTTGTCAGATCTTTGACCTTTTGACTTGTTTTCATTTCTTAACTTGAAAAAAAACACCTTTCAGAAGGAAGAAAGAAGTCCAGGGAATCATTGGATCTGCCATTTTCCAGTATACTAAGGGTCATACCCAAAAATGAGTTTAAAAAACTCTCAGAAATTGAATAAAAAATGTTACGGACATGTGTTTTAATTAAAAGAGATTAATAAGTAAAATCATGAAGACTAAATCATTGCAAATCGTCTTTTGCTTCTTTCCGAGCACCGAGGATATTATTTATTGAACAGCCCTCATAAATTCAAGAATATTAATGCATGTAACAAACTTTAAACTTTAATTTCAGATGGCACATTCAAAACCAAAAACTCCAGGCACTGCCCAACACTTTCTGGAGTGTGGTTCTGAAGATTGTGAGAGAAATTGTGAATTCTACTGCAATTCCTGCCATCATCAGATGTGTAAACCATGCAGAGATCAACATCTAAAAATTCCAGAAAACAAGAACCATGAAGTGGTCCTTTATCAGCAACGTAGACGACAACTCCCAGTGAAGAAATGCAAGATCCACCCCACTAAAGAAATAGATATTTTCTGCAAAGAATGCAATATTCCTTTATGTTCGAAGTGTTCAACAATGCAAGAGCACCATGGACATATATTTACTGATTTAGAGACTATTTACACTGAGAAATTTACTCATTGCCAAACAGAACTCTCTAAAATTCATAATTATTTTATTCCTACATCACAGGATTTACAGAGAGAAGTTCAGGAAGATGCTACAGAAGTTAAACAGATCATGGACAGCATACGGACATCCATGAAGGCTGAAGCCGAGTCTCTCAAAAACATGGTGGACACAGTACTCTCAGAAAATATGGAAGAATTACACCAAATAGAGAAATCATTGCTACAGAAATTAAAGAGCCAAGAGAAGACATTTGATGATTATATTGCCTATCTCAGTGACCTTGTTAAAGAGTTCCAGAGTTACCTGTCCTCTACTGAACTCACTAACTTCACAACTAAACTTCCAGACAACTTAAAAATAAAATCCATACCAGAAACCACAAAACCTGTCACGCCGGAATTTTCTCCTGCTCAATACAACAAAGCAGATGTTGCAAAATTATTTGGAAATATAATTCAAACAGATAGAAAGGCAGAACTAAGAAGAGTCAAGTCAATGGAAATTCCTCCTATTGCTACATCAACGAAATCTACAAGTGAACAGACAAAACAAGATAAACATGTGAAATCTGACAAGAAACAAACATTGTCTCTATCTGCCTCTGTCACCAAGGTCAGGGAGTTCAATGAACCAGGTGTTGATACTGTATACCATGTATCACTAGATCAATCAGGCAGACTCTGGATCAGTGACTGGGATGGTAATCTTGTCAAAACAGATCTACAGGGGAATGAGATACAGAAGATAGAAACCAGTGGTGGATCTCAAGGTTACCACACAGTCACACAGGACAGGGATCTGATCTTTACAGACAGAGACAAGAAAGTCATCAAAAGGATAACACAGGATAATAATATCACTGAATTCATTAATACTGGAGACTGGAAACCGCTCAGTATACACTCCTCCCAAATCAACGGGGACTTACTAGTGGGGATGGAGAAGGATAGAGAGGGTAAAGTCATTAGGTACAACAAGACAGGAAAAGAACTACAGAACATACAGAGGAATAATAAAGGACGGGAACTGTATCGTTATCCACAATACATCACAGAAAACATCAATGGAGATATCTGTACATCAGACTATTTTAATGGAGTGGTGGTGGTGAATAAATCAGGACAACACAGGTTCTCCTACACAGGTCAGAAGTCAAGGTTCTGGCCCTTTGGAATCTGTACTGATGTCCTGGGTCACATCATGGTGTGTGATAGTAACAGTGAGTCTGTTCACCTCCTTGATCAGGATGGACAGTTTTTGTCTCTTTTACTCACACAACAACAAGGGGTACGCCGCCCCCGTAGTGTGTGTGTGGATGATGAGAACAATCTCTATGTAGGACAACGAGACACCAAAACACTGACAGTGTACAAGTATCTTAAGTGATTCTTACTTTGTCACAATCACATTGGTTGTAATTATAATTTAATGTACAGAACAGAATAAATTATGTGATCTCAAGAGTAGATATTGTCATTCCTGGCAATGTTTGCTACAGGCAGAACATAATGAATATAGTGCACAAATAAAATGTAATTGAGTTGCGTCAAGCGAAAAGGGACCTTTGTGACCAAATTTTCAGAAATTGGTTTTTTACCGTTTCTGACAGAGCTAGTCTTTCTGAATATTTTGATACCAAAATTTTAATAATGCACCTTTTATATTCTAATTAAAACTCAAAATGAAAACAATAGAATGCGAACAATATAACACCATAAAACGTTAAATAACGTCACAAAACATCATTGATAATTGAAACTTTGTAACAAAATCACCCTTTTGCGTTAGTTAAAAAATTATTTTGTATTTTAAAGTTTCTTCAATATCTATTTCTCCAAATTTTAGCATTTGTATATATGATCATATACATTGTAAAATAGCAATAAGGTTGTTGAAAAAAAAGATCACCTAAATGTACATGTATATATTGAAATAATAAAGTAAGCGTGTGTGTGTGTGTTGTTTGACGTCCCTCTCGAGAATTTTTCACTCACATGGAGACGCCAAAACTTGTCAGTGGAGAGCTGCAAATTTAGTAAATTCTCAAGGAAAATATTTAACGAATTATCTCACCTTTTTACTACATCATCAACCTAATCATGCTTTAATCACTGGACATTTGTATTTGAAAGGGTCCTTGACAAGGGGACAGACTGCTGACCATACAAAACCAAACAAGTTCCTACTCTAAACTAAAATCATCTTGCAAAGCATTCGTAACAACACGCCATTTTCCAAGGGAAATTAAATATTTCTATGTTAAACTTTGATTCCCTATTGTGGCCCCGCCCTACCCCAAGGGGTCATGATTTTTATAATTTATTATCTACACTACCCAAGGATGCTTCCACATGAGTTTCAGCTTTCCTGGCCCAGTGGTTCTTGAGAAGAAGATTTTTTAATAACCCCACCCTATTTTTGTCTTTTCTTGATTATCTCCCCTTGTAAGGGGACTTGGCCCTTCATTTTTACAATTTAAACTCCCCTTTATAACCAAGTTTGGTTAAAATTGGCCCATTGGTTCTTGAGAAGAAGTAAAAAAAATGAAAAGTTTAAAGACGGACGGACAGCTAGACTAACGACGGACAAATGTGATCAGAAAAGCTCACTTAAGCCTTCGGCTCAGGTGAGCTAAAAACAATATACGCACCAGATCTATCAATCCGGGCACATAAAAAAATTTTCTGCACATAGGGTTGATAATTAGCCTTTTAACTTTTTAAAATTAATTAAGCTGATTTTGAGGTAATTATGGCTCTCCGGATCAAGACATTGGGGTAAATTGGTCAGTTTGTATGGTGTTAATCACTTTGTAAACACCATGTTGTTACCCCGATAGTACTGTAATTCTTTAATAATTACAAATGAATCCCTCTAAGCTCTGTTAATTGGTATGTTTTTTGTTTTCAGTAATCTATTCAATTAAACAAACATGTTAATTGAATTTAGGGCATATTTATAGCTTAAATCTGCTTTTGTGACAATGCAGAAAAACAAAATATGTGTGACCTCTTAACGTTATCGATGATTTTTCTATGCTTTTTTCTATGTTTTTCTTTAATTTTTCTTTTCCATGGAAATTAAAAAATATATGTATTACCTTACTTTGCTGATTCAAACAAATAAAACTTTTTGAACTTTCGTTATTTTTGAAGTCTTTTTGCATAATACAGTGAAACTTCTCCAAACCGGCCCCCCTGGAAACCGGTTCTCCCTGAACATCGGCCAAATTCATAAGTCCCGGCAAAATTATTAACATTTCTTTACACATAAACTCTCGTAAAACTGGCCACCCCTGAAAACCGGACACTTTTCCAAGAACAAAAGTTAAGAAAGGTAGGAAATATCCCCTCATCATACCGGCCACTTTTTGATTGCAAGAAATTTTACTGTCATTGGCCAGAGGGGTAATAATGACCGGCCGGAAGTGTGAAAAATAGCCTACCCACGATAAGTCAGAGGTGTGAAAAACTGAATATGGCCTCATAGGGTTTTCTTTTGTTTAGCCGTCTTGAAGGGGTAGTCATCGTGCCAGACTACGTAGATGGCCGGTCTAAGCTGTGTACATATGATTGATATCAATTAAACTTGAATTAATAAAATATCAAGCGACTAATAATTAAATTTAAATCACAGAATGAATCAACAAATTCTCGCACGCCAAATTGCATCATCTTTTTAAATACACATAAGCGGCCTTAAAATTTAGGAACTGTTAAAAAATACTGAGAAAATAAAATAAAATAAAATGTTTACCAAAATAGACATTTCATAATTAAAATAACAGAAGTTTTGCTCAGAAATGTTTTAATTATTTACTTTTAACTGAAGTAGAAACAATTTTTTTTAATGACGTAAGCGATACACAGATACACATGCAGTATTCTGTATAGAGTTCACTTGAGGTAAAGGGTCCGTTTTATTTCTTCTTATATGGTTAATAAAGTAACTTTCCATGTTTTTTTTCTGTTCTTATTTTTTAATTTCTTTTTATAAAAATCAACATGTATTAATAACATATTGACAGATAAATATAACAGAAACCAATATTAAATATTTTTCCTAGCATCTGTCACATAGTTCTGCATTTCTTCAATATGTTAGATTCTCGGGAAACCAGCCACCCCTCTAGTCCGACCATTTTATTCAGTCCGGCAGCTGGCCGGTGTAGAGAAGTTTTACTGTATATGGATAGAGATACTTAAAATAAATTGTCAAAAAAAATATGTATTTTTGATACGATTAACCGGTTAAGTGGTCGGCATGTGTTGCGGTTAACTGATTAGGAATTCTGTATTTGATTGCCATCCCTAATTTATTGGTTTACCTGAATGGCTCCGTTGGAATGACCAGTAAAGAGGTATCGTCGAGGACGAGATCCCATACGATTCGACCCCTCACACTCATGAACACAGAAAGCACTGATATTGCAACTATCCACCGACTTAATGACGCAAACCCTGAAAAGATAATAATTCAAGAAATACTGTAGAAGCACAAATCTTTGTGGGGATAAAATTTTATTGAATTGTCATCTAAAATAGTTTCATGGGCATTAAATTTCGTATATTTGAAAGTAAGCCTATTAAATATATAGTCATATAAAAATTTCATGTTTGATTTATATTTTGTTGATTATTGTTAACAATGAGATAAATGAAATGCTTTTACAGTACATGTAGTTAGTACATGTACATGTTAATACATTTACATGTAATAAATCAATAGTATATAATAAATCCATCATCCAAATATGACAAATACAAGTACGGGTACCTGTTATAAATTTTTCACTTTGATTATATGTACTAAATAATTTTTGCATACCTCTGACCATTTGATGAAAGTCTGATAAACAGCTGATTGGTTTCTGGTACAACTTTCTGAATGAAAACCTGCTGATCATCCTGCTCACCATAGGGACCTAACGGATATTTTATGTAGAAATAGTATATATCGAATATAGAAGAAGAAAGAATCACTGAGGTTTATATAACGACCAAAAAAATTACCAGTCGTTTGACATACATTTCTTTTATTTTTTATTTTTAAAAAGCAATTTATTGGCATTGCTCAAGTATTTGTATTTTTTTTTACTTTAACTGACACCTATAAGGTATGTGTTTTAAGATTTTCTGTTTTTTTACCAATATCATTGCTGGCAGAGTAACTGATAATTGGGTCTACATCTTCAAGAGACACGATCTTAAAAGAAGCCAGAGGAGTGGATCCAGGCTGGGTGGAAATCATTCCTCTGAAGCGGGTCACACTCCATGTCCTCACATGATTATATTCACTACACACTACAACAGAGTACAGAGCTCAAAATATCTATCCCAAAATCTTTGTTGCTGAAATAACTGAATGCTAAATTAGCTCGGATCCTTGCCAGGTTTGGATTAATCTCACATGCAAATCTTTAAATTCAATAAATATCTCAGTTTTGTTAAGCATAAAAACTGACATACATATACTAAGAATTTAGAAAAAAAAAAACCATACTATTAGAACAATGATTTGAAACAAGGAAAAAAAATCATATCCAAAAATCAAGTTTCCAGGTTTTATTTAAGAAAACAACCCGAATAGGAAATTAAGAATTTGACAATGTCTACTTTCTCACAGAGATACTCGTTACTTCCCCTGAGCTCTTACCTGACACCAGGTGTCTCTCTGACAGCATCACTTTAGTAACAGGACTTCTGTGTACTGTGAAGGTCTGGAACAGCTGAGGTCCACTCCCCACAGTTTCTGGGTGTTGGACAATGACCCTAACTATCCCTGAGCTTGTGCCATATGCTATCTCTATCCAGTTACCACTTATACCTTTAATATCCACATAAATAGTTTGTTATATCTTTGTGAAAAGGACAGATTCATATAGATATTTTATTCACATATAAAAGTTTATATTTTTTGGTTTCAACTTGTTGAATAATCAATCATTAGCAGAAAAATTCAATTTTACGCTTTTTGCATGTAATTGCTGAAGTCTGAAGACTGTTATATCCCTGCTAAAATCACTTTTGTGAAGCACACTATTGTTTTAGACAATGATAGACACTAGTCAGCCTGAAGATTGGTTATCAATGTTACATCAATATGTTTGAAATACTCACTTGTTTTGGGGGTGAGATACACACTGAGGGCTGTAACCATGTCTTCTGACGGATCCTTGTACAGCTCTGTCACCAACAGGTCATTGTCCTTCATCCTCAAGGGGAATTTCTGCATGTCTGAAGACGAAGAGGTCAAAATTAATTATGACATTTCATGCATATATAAACTGTGTGAGGCTAATTCAGAAAATTGAATTGTAAGGACTTACCTATGTAATAAATGGAGCCATTCTCACAGCCCAATAACAAGAAAGATCCTGCTGTGTCATAACTTGACACTGGAACTACATCTTGGATCTGAAAAACATCAAGTTAGGCTAAATAAAATTCTCAAGTTAAGGTTCTCAGAACCATATGCATCTGTTTTGAGGTAGCCACATTTCAAAATTTATCATATTTTTGATAAAATAAAAAAATGGTTATGAAAAAAATTCCATGCTCATTTTCTTGTGGTTGAGTAGTCGAATATGGCTTTGTATGTATGCAGTCATAAATTTTCCACAGAATAACTTTATCAAATGCACCTAAGACAAACAATTGCAATCTATTAAATATAATTTACTACTTGTGGATTGAAGGTAGATTGTGTTTCCCCACAATTACAACCTCACAGATAAAGTACATTTACAGTATCACAAAGTTGAAGTTTGTAACTCTTCAGGACAACATTGTTAAACATGATAAGATTTCAGGACACTGATGTTAAAGTTTGTTAACTTTCACAACAGCAATGTTCAAGTTTATTAGGTTTTGGGACATAATGTTAAAGTTTTATTAGGTTTTAAGACAATTTGTCAGTACCTGCCAGTGCTGAGTCATGGCATGCCACACTCCGACCTTCCCTGTCTGACTCAGGGCCACCAGCTGACTTCCAATGAAGAACAAGGAGTCAACTGACACATTCAGACTGAACTTCCCTATAAATATATCACAGGTCAATATAGAGTACATTTACACATTGTATGTGATAAGTACAAACTGGATAAGCATTTGCATGAACTTAAAATGCACTTCAAAAGAGTTTAAAATCATTTATCAAAGACTCATAGCTTTCTTATTAAGGAGGAACAGGACCTTTACCTGAAAAAAATCCTGTCAATGAATTTTTTTCGTATTTTTTATATTACTAATTTAATATATACTTAACATTTTAAAACGGTCCTGTCATGGGATTTCTTGACTTATTAAAAAGATATCGTCCCACAAATACCACCCTATTTAGAGTTTGTATGGAGTTTAGATACTTCGTGTTTACGGGCCCATAACAGAGTCCATAATGCGATTTTTTACGCTCAAACGATAAATATGATAGATAACACTATATACTCAAATATTTCATAATATTCATAGTGTTTAAATTATCGGAAAGCAATTGTTTTTATTTTATATAGTATTTGGGTGGGATAATTTTTGCATTTTTCAAGGCAGCTTCAACGACAAAAAACCTCATTTGGAAAAAATTTTGTCAATAAATATTTCTAAATTTACGATTTAATGTCAGTCCTTCATCGTAATTATTTACTGCATAAATATCACAGGGTGAAGCTTACCTCAATATCGCACAGGACATCATTGAATTAGACGTAAGCATGATAAAAACGCTTCAAGTTTGTATTTTCCGAGTGCGGGAAATTAATTGTGACGTCACACGAAAACATAAACATTCAAAATCATCTAAATAGAGAGAATATCTGTTACTAAACACGAAAAAATATTAATTAAACAAAATCTGCTTCAGAATTTATCACGATACATTGACTGTGACCTGTTTATTATGAAATAAAACTGATCATGACGGGTGTGTGTACTTGATCTCGCTGCACTGAGAATTCAAACACTACGTCTATGACGTCACTGACGTCAGACTGCAGGGTAAAGAGAAACAAATGTGTATTGGACAACTTCACAATATCTAAATGATGGGAAGATCTTTAAAAATTTTATTGATAATAATTTCTAAAACTAAATGTTTTAAAACAATTTTAGAATTTAGAATAAAATTACACAATAACTGTTGATTCTAACAATGTTTAACATGTATATCATAACCGATTATGACGTAATATGTCTTTTTAGTCATGTGACATGTTCCCTGTCTCCCCTTAATTCTTAGTAATTAAGTTTCTTAAAAGTTTATCAGTGTGACATCATCATTACCATGTTTGTATTTTATTAAGATGTCCGTGCAAATAGTTCATTCATGCATACCTATGTATATTACATGTTCATGTAGTTTATATGAATAAAAAATGAATGTTCAAATATCCAATCTTTCTTTGTCTTCATATTAAAGTATTACAGAAACCCACCAATCTCTCTGCTGATTCCTTCCTCTGTCACAGACCACAGTTGTATCATGTTGCCCATGGCAGCCGCCACCATCTTGTTTGGATTGTCTGGATTTAAAACCTTAGCATTGATGGCCACTCTGTCTACAACATTCTCCATGTAGGGACTGGTCCATCTCAACTGCCAACCTGCAGAGTCCTTCATTCTATCACAAAAGATGTGTTGCATTGTTATTTGAATAAAACTGGTTATCACAGTTTAGCAAATGAATTCAATATCGAGATATTTAGTTTCAGCAAATGAGTTCGATATTGAGTAGTTTAGTTAAAGCAAGAGAGTTCTATATGGAGAAATTTAGTTTTACAAGTGTAGCAAGTTTGTTCATTGTTAAGAAAAAACAATTCCATAAACATAGACAAATTTTACCTGAAGCAGCACACAAAATGGGGATAAGCCACACAGAGCCAGTTGTGATGACCTCTCACCATGGTGACTTTCAAAGGTTCCTCATGACCTGCAGAAGCAAACAAACAAATTAATATATCCCTGTCTTTTTTCTGCCTTCTGTCCTTAGAACTTAAACATTCAATCCTAAACAAAATGAATTTTTTGGTCTGCTACCCTCTATTCCTTGACTTACTGTGATGGGTTTGTATTTTGTCCACATCAGCAGAATGGCTGGGTAGAACTTCTGATGCGGGACGGACAGGTCTAAGTTCGTTGACCTGGGGGGAACTACACGTCTCAGACACTGGGCGAGGGGATCTTGGGCTCTGGGACTCATGTCTAAATAATAGAAACTCAAATATCATTTTGTATGCAATGCTTGTGTAAAAAAAAAAATATATCTACTCTCCATAAAACAGCTGATCCTTGGTGATCTGGACACCCAATATTCTGAACACTTTACATTCCAGCAGAAAATTGGGGCAACACAATTTACACAATTATATATGCTATGTTTCAGTATTACCCAGATGCTTCATTAATCATGACAAATTACTTGAAAACACAAAGGTCCAGATTAACAGTGCTCAACTGTACTAAATGTAATTTTACATTAACACTAAGTAAGATTATGTGACAGACATAGGTACCTGGAAGTGGTACTAGGGCTCCTGGCATGAGAAGGAGCTGTACCTGAAGACCCAACCACAGACACAGAATGCCTCTTTTTCTCTACTTTAGGAGGAGGTAGGGGTGGTTCTACAAATTCAAATGTAAAATATTTTTTATTTTTTTCTAATAATCATATTTTCAACACATTTTAATCAGTTTCCTTTATTTTCATTTGTCCCATAAGTTCATGAAATTTTAATGCTTTTTTCCCTGGTAAACTACTGTAGATTAAAAAAATCTATGAACACAATTACCAGTAAGCAATGTTCGTTTTACATTGATTTGGTAGATCAGGGTACTGTAATACACATACAATTATTTGGGGGATTAAGGCTTTTCATGTTTAACTTTATCTGGTGGATGAAGATGTGATATAGATGACACTAACCTGGTGGGTTAAGATAGCCATGGAATAAGACATCACCACAGGAAGCATGTTCAAGATCTTCACACAGAGTCAAACGTCTCACTGTTATCATAGAAATATATGTGTAATAGACTAAATATCTCTATCTATATAAGAATTGAAGTTATTCAAAATATTCATCTTATAAGTGTATTTGGTTAGGAAAATAATCATATTGCTGTTTTGTTAGTTTAGAAAAATATAGCAATGCATAATTTTTGTAATCTTACAAAGATAATGACTGAAAATCGACAAGTAAATTTACATTAAAGAGTTTAATATCTGTTCAGTATGTCAGTAATTGAGAAAGAATGCAAGTATTGTGGTCTATATTTCATTAAAATTAGAACAAAAAAAATCATTAAAAAAAAGAAAACAAGAGTTCTGAATGAAAATAGAACAAAATACAATACAAGTATACCTAAAGGGGTAATGCCAAAATATTCTGCTTCATGGCGGAGGGCTGATATGTCAACACTTCTGAAATAACAAGATACAGATCATCAATAAGCATTTAGTTGTTTCAACACAACTGAAATGGCATTTATGTATACTAGTATGCAATGCATATTTTTTTTTCTGTTTTTCTCATACATGTATGTTTACACAGTTCAGTGCTTCTGTCAAAAGTACAATAAAGTACAGAAAATTGGATCATTTATCAAGCCATTCTATACTTTTACTCCACATTATCACAAAGGTTGATTCATTCCTCTAAATGACAATTTGGAATGTATTAAAAGGTCCTATACCCAAAATCTACTTCCTTGGTTCTCATAAAGTTCAGTATCACAGAAAATATCACCGGATCTCTGTCAATAAAAATCTGAAAAGAAATGAGTCATTATTCCAAAATGACATTTAATATAATATTGTAATCAAGTCTTATATTGATGAAAATGATTTCAATCACTTACTGCACCAGTTTCATCCATCTGGGATGATATCCTGCCACTCAGCATACTGAAAAAAAAAATAATGTAAAATGATGAATACGTTTTAAAAACATTCTTATGATTAAGTTCATTAAAATCCATATCCAAACTAGTGCTAATTGTAACGGGGACCGTTACAGATGTTCCCCAAACCCTCCCCATCTCCCTTTTGGTGCCATATTCCCTATAAGCTTCATTAAATAAGACAATCTTTATGCATTTGAGACTTTTAGAACGTTTACCCAGATGGGTACCAAGTTCATTCAAATTTTAGCATTGCACGCGTGCGCATGTTAATGCATGTGCGTAATGACCATATCATCTTGTTTACACAATCTATATACTTAAATTTACTAAATATTAAAGTATTTAATCCAAAAGTATTAAAAAATACGCTCATTCAAGTGTTTTTTTGATTTTACTAATTTCACGTGCACGCCCGTGCATACATGAGCATGGTGACATACCTTCTTGTAGAAGTCCATTACATCTATCTATGTTCTAAATCCCACTCCGTTTGGTTGAAAACCAAGGGAGTTATAGCTGATTAAAGTTTCAGCCAATCAGATTGCAGCGTACGAACACGCACGTGTATTGATGTGCTTGGTGATCATACCTTCTTGTAGAAGTCCATAATATTTATCTATGTTCCAAATCCCATCTTGTTTGGTTGAAAACTAAGGGAGTTATAGCTATTTAAAGTTTCAGCCAATCACATTGCAGCGCACGTACACGCACGTGTATGGATGTGCATGGTGACCATACCTTCTTGTAGAAGTCTATTATATCTATCTATGTTCCAAATCCCATCCTGTTTGGTTGAAAACCAAGGGAGTTGTGGCTATTTAAAGTTTCAGCCAATCAGATTGCAGCGCACGTGCATGCACGTGTTTTCATGAAAATTGTTATATTTCATGTTGTAGGATATCCTAATGCATGGCTATGTTCAAAATTTCAAATGATTTCATAAAAAAACAAGAAAGATTTTGAGACTTTAGTTTCAGCCAATCAGAGCAAAGCACACGTGCATGCGCGTGAGATCTTGCTATTTTGACCATGTCATATTGTCTATGCTACTACTATATCCTTATATTATGAGTTTCAAAGCATTTCATCAAAAAGGTAAAAATATACGCCTATATCAATTAAATCGGTCATTTCACGTGTTGCTCGTGCGCGCTCTTGCAAGCACGTGCACACAAAATGGCATGTTGACAATGTCATCTTACCTACATTTATAATGTGTCTATATATTATAAAAATCAAAGCATTACATCGAAAAATGTAAAAGTTACGGCAATTTCAAGTATATTGGTCATTTCACGTGTTGCACGTGCGCGCTCTTGCAAGCACGTGCGCGCAAAATGACCTTCGTTCCGCAAATCTACATAACATGCCTACTTACCCTAAAAAGGTTTCCCCTTAATCGGATGTGTACTTTACAAGATCATTCGCGGACAATATTTTCCCGAGAAGAAAAATAATAATAACTAGATGAGAAACTCGTTGCGAGCAACGAGAGGTCTTCCGTCCGATTCCGGAAAGAAAACGTAAAATCGAGCTGAAAAAGTAAAAAAAAAATTGCACACAAGGAGAATTGAACCCATGTAGCCAGCATGAAATTCCGACGGCACTAAATATTACGCTATCGGGACCTCTTCTCTAAATCTATTTATATATATTTATGAAACAGTGATTCTCTTTTAAAATTATGAAAGGCGGGTCACTATTCAAAATTTAGCACCTAACGCCACGAGTTAATCTTCGCACCTTTTCTTTGGAATGTTCTAGTAAATAGGTGTGATAGCTTCAATGAAATTAAAAAAAGAACATTCTTATAGCCTAAGATTCGAGGTTTAGAAAGTATATTTAACACATTTTACAAATTCCATATGGTATATATGCCTGTAACACTAAAGCGGTGAAATGGTTATGAATTTCTAACTTTTTTCAATTTCCTGTTTATCCCCAAAGTAAACTATCCCGATTAGTTAATTGAAAAAGGTTGAAACGTTTCGCCGAAAAACATGGCTCGCCCTATGATGGTCAAGGAATCAGATATCATTTATGCTCCATAACTTGAATCAGGTCTTTGAGACAAGAATGCTAAAATAAACTCCATGAAGCGATCTTTAAAAAAATCGTCTTCTTATTTTTGTCTTATTTATTAGTTTAATATGACACAAGTGTGCATAGGAAAAACAGTGGTTAAGATTTCTACTGACAATATTAATCAATATTCTTTTTTGAGAAAGTATTACTTATAAATTTGATGAGATCTATTTTCCGTGGTGCACAAAAGATATTAGGTATCGAATTTTATTTGCACATTTAGTCTTTTCTTTTTCAACTTTGGGAACTAGCCAAAACCAATTATACAAGAAGTTAGTTTGACACAGAACTGCAACGTAACTATGACGTGACTATCCAAGTATTCCTATACATTTCATTTATCCTTATGTTACTTTCATTCAAGCAAACGCTCGACTGCCTCCGTAAATCCCTATTGCGAAATGTCGGCGTTGACAGAGACAGCCGCCATTTTGGACCCGCTTCAGATTTTTGAATGCTAATATCTAGAGTTTAGATTGATCAACATTCAAACAAATTATATAGTAAGCATTATCAGGAGGGTTTCTATTAACAAACCAAAAATAAATGAAAAATACTGAAAAACAAAAAAGTTAGAAAATACGATTTTTTTAAATTTGCATCTCGTTACAACCGGAAGAACTGACGACGCACAAAAAGGTGATTCTGCAAACCACAAAGTCACGAACTATCATCTCCAATAAGTCTCCAGTTCATATCTTTAGCCATTTTCGAAAAAAAGGGGCGACAAAATTGCATTTTAAAATCAGGAAATTGCCCATAACTTGGCACCAGAAGCAAATTTCCAAATTTCCTTAAAAATGTATCAAGTTCATCTTATTGCGCATAATTCCTGAAAATTTCATAGAAATCCGCCGAATAGTTGCTGAGAAATCGCGTGCACAAAATTTTGGGAAAAAAAATAAGAATAATAATAATAATAATAAGAAACAGTAGAATAACTATAAGGTCTTCCGTGAAGACGAAAGACCTTAACTAGAGGAGATCTCGTTGCAAGCAACGAGTAGGTCTTCCGTTCGATTTTTGATACGATCATAAAACAACTTAAAATAAAAAAAAAGTTCATATCAATTCTTCTAAATACGTGAGAACACATTTAAGAGTGAAATTTGTAAATTTCAGACAACTTCCGGTCTTTATAATTCACTTCCGGTGTGACCGGAAGTACTAAAAATGACCTATAACTCCTCTCTGAGTGTGAAGGAATCATCCCTGATAATTTCGATGAAAAATGCTCATTTTTTGGACTACTTCCGGTTTGGAAAAAATAACTTCCGGTGGACATAATAATACTCGAGACACTCTATTTGCCTATATAAGAAATATTTAAAAAAGAAAAAAATAAAATTTTGCATATTTTTAAACTACTTCCGGTGGACAACGGACGTGACGGCAACAAAAACTTTATACAAAATTCAAGAGAGCCTGTCACAATCTATCATCCCTGAAAGTTTCAAGACTCAATCTCATACCGTTTTTGAGAACACTTCCGGACAAAATGACACTTTAAAAAAAGAAAATTGGCCGTATCTCGCGACCGGAAGTGACGACGGCAAAATTAAAAAAAACGCCTTAAGTTCATATGATTTGCCATCATTGCTGAAAGTTTCATAAAGATCTGTCGAGGCGTTCTCGAGAAATCGCCTGCACAAAATCGGTAAGAAAAAAAATAATAATAATAATAATAGTGGAAAAGAAACAAACGAATCAGTAGAAGGTCTTCCGTTGGAAACGGAAGACCTTAACTAGATACGATCTCGTTGCGAGCAACGAGAGGTCTTCCGTCCGATTCCGTTAAAAAAAACGTAAAGTCGAGATGAAAATGTAAAAAAAATTATTGCACTCAAGGGAGATTGAATCCAAGTCGCCAGCATGAAAATCGAACGCGCTAAATATTACGCTATTGGGACCTCTGCTCTAAATCTTTATGTATATACCTCTGTATAACAGTGCTTTTGTTTTAGAATTATAAAAGGCTAGTCACTATTCATAATTTCGCCCAAACGCCACGAGTTAATCTTGGCGCCTTTTCTATGAAATGTTCTATTTAATACGTGTGATAGCTTCAATGAAATAAAAAAACCGTTCATGTAACCTAAAATTCGACGATTAGAAAGTATATTTAACACATTTTACAAAGTCCATATAGTATGTAAGCAAGTAACACCTTTTTTTACTTTGAGAACCAGTCAAAACCAATTATAGAATTCGAAGACGTTTAAGAAGAACGTAGTTTAACACAAAATTGCAACGTAACTATGACGTGAAAATCCAAGTATTCCTTTACATTTCATTTGTCCCTATGTAACTTTCGTTCAAGCAAACGTTCGGCTGCCTCCGTAAACCCCTATTGCGAAATGTCGGAGTTGACAGAGACGGCCGCCATTTTGGACTCGCTTCAGATTTTTAATTGTTAATATCTAGAGTTTGGATTTATCAATATTCAAACAAATCATACAGTAAGCATTATAAGAAGGGTCTCTATTACCATTCCAAAAATAAATGAAAAATATTGAAAAACAAAAAAGTTAGAAAATGCGGACTTTTTAATTTCGCTTCCGGCAGCAACCGGAAGTACCGACGACACACGAATAGGTGATTCGTCATATCTAAAAGTCATCATCTTTCATCTCTAAAAGGTCTCCAGTTAATATCTTAAACCATTTTCGAAAAAAAGGGGGGACAAAATTGCATTTTAATATCAGAAAAGTGTCAATAACTTGGAACCAAAGGTGAGTATTCCAAATTTTTCTATCATGCCACAACTTCATATAATGACGCATAATTCCTGAAAGTTTAATTAAAAACCACTGAATAGTTTTCGAGAAATCGCGTGCACAAAATTTTGGGGAAAAAAATAATAATAATAATAATAATAATAATAAGAAACAGTAGAATCACTAGAAGGTCTTCCGT